ATCTTTATTAAACAAGTGTGTCTTGATTGACTTCATATCAAATTTAACACCCAGCTTAATACAAGCATTAATGGAGGTACAAAATGATCCATAGCTGTAAGAGTTTAGGTGATGGGGAGGTATACGTCATGAAGACACTGCATACATCCTTTATTTAACTGCCAAATGACAAGAATTACTTTCAACCTAGCACCACGGTGCTCTTATTAGTAATTAACTAATCACTTTCCATACAGAAAGCTAAACACGTAATGTACAGAGCTATTTGCAGAGTTAATGTTTTCCTTTCTGTAGGTATGTGCATGATAAAGAATGTGTTGCTACCACAGGAGATATTACTGTTTCTGTGTCCACATCTTTTCTACCTGAACTCAGTTCTGTGCATCCACCGCATTATTTCTTCACTTACAGAATCAGGTAAAAATAACAACTGAATTAACTCTTACAACACAGGATAGACCTATGTGATGTTCAAAGCATCAGTTGTTGCAAATTTATGCACAGCATTCAAAAACATACTGAAATGAAGAGGATGTGCACAACATGCTGTGCTTTTTAATAAAAAAAAATACTAAATCGTTACCTGGTCAGGTACGCAAAGTACCAGTCAAGTTGGTAATTGGTAAAGTACAGTGATGGGTGGGAGAAAGAAGTTAGGAGTGACTCTCGTGATTTAGAAAGGGGTAAATAACAACAGATAGTGAAGCAGAGGCACGGAGCTGGATCCTGACAACTGATTGAGTATACTTTACCTTAGTGGGGTTTTTTTGCCCCGTCTACTTTGAGAGAGATCCCAAGGGTACTAAAGCATTTCCTAAAATGTATGAAAGTAGATACATAACGATTAAGTATGCTGTTTGGCTTCTAGAATTGAAATGTCCAAAGATGCTCTTCCTGAGAAGGCTTGTCAGCTGGACAGTCGATACTGGAGAATAACAAATGCCAAAGGCGATGTAGAAGAAGTTCAGGGTCCTGGAGTAGTTGGTAAGTAAAAGATTGCTTTTACGAACCCAATAGAGAGAGTAGTTTTGTATTTAATGTACATGTTATGAAAGTTACATTATTAGCCGTTCATCATGGTGACAGAGGGTAGTAGTTGTATGGTTTGTATCAAAATCATTTTGTTGCTCTACTTCAGTCCTTACTATTGTGATCTAATATTTTACCAACAGGGGAGTTTCCAATTATCAGTCCAGGGAGAGTCTATGAATATACCAGCTGTACTACGTTTTCCACAACATCTGGATATATGGAGGGGTATTACACCTTCCATTGCCTCTACTACAAGGACAAATTCTTTAACGTCACAATTCCCAGATTTCATATGGTGTGTCCAACATTCAAGGTGTCTACTGCACGAATGGTAAGCGGAGATGCAGTTGTGCTTATCCTAGTTGTTTTTTTTCTCCGACCTCCTGTTTTCAGAGAACACTTGGATTAGTTTTAATAGGACAGTGTAACTGTGTGTTTAAACTCCAGTGCCATGTCACTTTTCAGTTTTCATTCTTTTCTTGAAAATTGCTCTTTTTCAGAACCATTTCTCAAAAAAAAAAAAGTCTAAAAGTATCACTCAGTCTGAGACTTTGGCAATTTCCCATTATATGAATTCTTTTCAGCTTCTGGAATGTTTATCGATAAGAAAACACTGCTGGTGCAAAAATTGCAGTACTGAACAGTATTCAGACTGGTAACTCCATACAAAACATGGTCCAATTAAGACTAAGTCTAGCAACTGTAGTAATCTTTGTAGGCAGTTTGTACATTGGTAAAGCCGTGTATCCTCATTGCTTTGACATGTAATGCTACCAGTTTAATTCAAGACCCTCGGCCCTAGCTTTCATAGGACGCTGTACATGGCTGTGGGTCTTCCTCCTCAAGTCCTCACCTCTGTCTGGTACCAAGGTCAAACCTGGTTGTATCAATGAGATCAGGGGCTCTGTGGGTTCCCGACAGAGAATGTAACCATTCTGTTGTCCTGTGTCTGAACACAACTGACCCTCAGGATGCAGAGAAATACATGTATATGTATAGAATCATAGAATCATAGAATAGTTTGGGTTGGAAGGGACCTCTAAAGGTCATCTAGTCCAACCCCCCTGCCGTGGGCAGGGACATCTTCAACTAGATCAGGTTGCTCGGAGCCCCGTCCAACCTGATCCATGTCAGTTCAGGGCGTATTTTGGAGGTATATCTGATTATGCAGACTACAGCAATGTTGAGTTTTGTTTGCTTGTTTTGTTTTAAGGAGCTATCTCATTTCTTAATTTGTACCTAGAAACATGGCATGGCGTCAGCTGTTTGGATTTCATAGTTCTTTTAAATATTCTGTCTTGGTATGACCACACTGTCGTCTGTTTTAGCCATAATAGTATATCTACTTTCTTCAACAAGAAAAGTGTCAATTAATGACAACTTAAAAATGATAGCACTGTCTGATGTTCATTAGTCCTCACTGAACGTGCGTTCCATAGTCACTTAATGACTTCACAAATCAGTAAGACATTTAGCTTCCTGTTAATTATGATGTAGTTTTAGTTTGGAGATTGCAGGTGAACTATGTAATCTCTCCCTTTACTTTGGCACATTTCGAGAAGAATGCTTTATTTATTTTATCACTAGCATAGCCCTTAATTAGTGACTAATTCGGATAGAACTTGAACGTTTTTGTGTGAGCATCGAATCTTTCCTTGGGGGTAGACATCTGCTCGGACACTTTCTCATGTTTTTCAAGGGATTTGAGACTCTGATTACCAGTAGCTCTAACAGTAAGTGCCAGCAGATGTCATGCTTCTAACACAAAATGGCATCTCTTAACTCTTGCTCACGTTTGTGGCACTTGTAACCGCCTTCCATTCAGTTGACTGTAAAAATAATTTGCTTTTCTCTTTTGCTCTACCTCTGTTTTGAAGGTAGTAATGACCCTTTGTTTTTAAACTACTTCTATTAAAAGACAACGTAAGCCGCCAAGAAAATTGGTACAGCTTAGATACTGAATTGTGGCTTTACGTAGTTAAAATGTACATATGAAATAATGAAGGCTAATGGATATTTACTGAGTTAACTGTCAAGTAGTTTGGCAAAATGATCTCTGTGGCAAATTAAACTTTATAAGGAGCTGGTTTTAGGACATAGAGCACAATGTCTACTTCAGCTAATTCATGCAATAATGCAGACCAGATTTTTCTAGGCAGTTGGTAGTGCTTTCTTATAACTAGCTGGAATTGAAGATTTTAATTAAATACGTATGTGTTTTGTATTAGGAAACAAATCATAATGAATATGCAGTGGATGAAGACGAAGATTCCACAGACACGGATGAATATGAAGATCGACGTAGAGTGTTGGACATTCCTGCACCTTCTGGACGCTGCCCACGTCATACCTGATGGGATTTTTTTCAGAACAAAATAAACTGTTTTCAGAAGCTGAACTCTTTGGGGCTAGTGCATAAGAATATTTCTGACTATTGTAAATGAACTTTCTGTTGCACATCAGGGCAACTAGCATGAACGTTGGTGCCAGTTCTAATATTCATCAGAGTATAACTTTTTTTCCCCCCTGGTTTGGAAGTGGGGAGGGGGCGTGGGGGGGCAGGGGGAGGGAGGGAGAGGAGGAGAAAGGTGTTTGGGTTTTGTTCACTTTTTTCTGAAGTGCAGAACAGCTTGATAGTCCGAGGTAATCGTATCTTACATTTTTAAACTATTGCCTATTTATGATGATATTGCAAATATGGTGTGGGGATTTGTTTTTATACAAGCATTTAAAATTAGCAATAGACAAGATGGCAAAAAAGGTGTATACTATTGTCCTTTCTCATGAGTTTCTACTCTCGATAACTCCTGCTAAGAACGAAACTTGCAGTTTAGTCTGCGTATCCCATTTGGGTGAGATCAGGTGCTCTTATACTCTTTTTTTTGTTTTAATTAACATAGAGGTACGAGAAAATTCTGGTCATCAAATGCATAAATGAGGAATGAAACTGGCCTTATTTTTAGACAATCTGTCTTTCAGCTTAATTTTATGCTAAGTGACTCTGATTGGATAATGCCTTTTGGAATGTAGTGTATGTGCATACTCTGCCACTCAGTAACCAAGAAGTTTCTCAATTACTACAAAGTATGAATTTGTAAATACATTTTGAGTTTTTTCTTCATATGATGTTTGCCGTTCAGACTTTGTCATAGGTGACAAATTTATGTTGAAGTATCATGTTTCCCTAAATCCTCTGTGGATTTTTGTAACTACGCCTGAATAAAAATAGAAAAGGAAAAAAAAAAAAAGGGAGCCTGGAAGAACACCGGATGACTAGAAACTATATTTAAAGAAGTATCTGTTTTTGCTTTATCACTTTTATTTTGTTTCCGTTGTCATGAATAAACAACTTAACTGCTTCCTTTGCTCTGAAGTGCTACGTGGGACTCTTGTCAGGATTTGGGCAGTGATTGTGTGACTAGGATCGCTGTAGTCAGTTCTGCTTTTTGACATCCAGAATTAGTAGCTCCTATGAGGAAAACCAGTATATTGTGGTTCCAACTGAATGTTTCCATTATTGACTAGTTACTGCTCATACAGAAAGCCTGTTGTTGGTTTTTTTTTTTTTTTTTACAAGTCATAGTATTAGATTCTCTGTGTGCTCATCTTTCTCAAGTGCCACACAGCATCTGGATCTTCCGCAGTGGTACAAGGCAGAAAAACAAATGATCCCTACAACAGTCGTTCAGGTGAAACATCTAGAGAAGCAAAACAATGTGTTGTCCCTCACAGAAGCCTGAACAGCAGTGTGAATTGCTGGAGTGGTTTAAAAACGTTTCCATTTTGAGGATTCCTTGGTGTTAACTGTGAGGGGAAAATGTGATCTTTGTGGCATAATGCTTTTTCTTCACAGAAATTTTATCATCTGTTAAAAGGATCAGTGAAAAAAAGGATTTAGTGGAACTAGAACTTGTTCCAGTGCTGTAAGTCTGTTGTGTGTTTTTAAGGACAGATAACACTCATGGTCGGAGGCTTGCTTGGTACTTTACCAGGGTCTGTATGTTCTAGTTAAGTGATACCAGCTGAAGGTCATAAGGCTCCACAGAAACACTGCCAACTCCTGGTGATTTTATGCTTCTCAGGGAGCGGTTCTCCCTTGGGTTGTTAAAGAGGAACTATAATTATTGCTTACTGCAGAAGACGCCACGGTACAGGACAATGCTATTCTGTCAACTTCGGAGCGCTGTGATGTGAGGGTTTGAGGCCTCTGATCCAAGCACAACGGGTGGTCACGGGACTCCTGCGAACTGTGCCTGTATGAAGTGAGAAGGAAACCAGGTAGGGGCAATGGCATGTCGCCGCTGGTGTACCAAATGTGTATGTATTTGTAACGGGGGGAAAAGGTTATTCCTTTGCTTCGGGCAGCTATTTTAGCACATGGCGTATTGCCTAAAGTTACCAGATGCAGCGTTACTGCAAGCGTTGTAACTCTTCATTATGTGCATCTGAAGTAGGGCTTATGCCAGTGGTTCTCCTCACCCCACCCAAAACTCTGAAGCTTATGCCAGATTGGTACGAAAAGTGAAGGGGCCGAGTCCATTGAAGAAAACAAGGCATCGGCTACGTTTGCCGGCACTGCTGGACTGTAGAAATCTTCGCTTAGAAAACGGGAGACAACTGACTCGAGGTCCCGCTTCAGAAGACAGCACTTCACCAGTGCTCAGGCTGATTCAGCAAGCAGGTGTTGGGTAGGTGTCCTGCTAACTGCCGATACCGTGCACCCAACTGCTAAATGCTTCCTGTGGTTGTTAGCCTGTGCAATATGCACGCACTGATTATAACATACGTACGTCCTTCCCTTTGGCCACCATCCTTCGGGTTCAGCCTGAAGTTCTGTCAGCTTCTCCCGACTCGGATCCTGACTGTTTGATATGGATGCTTGGTTAAGACCTTCTCCCGTCAACGTAAAACAAGCCTTGTTGAACACCTATGAATCCAGCATATGGTTAAAAACCTAGCACATCCAACGCAAATATATAACTAGTCTAGTCCTTTTTTTAGTCCGTGGAAAAGGCCTATGCTGACAGTCTCTTTATAATTGCGCTGTAGGATTCCTTCAGCATTTTTGTGGGCTTTTGCTGACTGGATGGTCTAACGGAGAGAAACTTTGGCCACGATTTCCTTGCTGTGACTGCATCGCGGGAGAGAAAAACAAGTGGTGTGCCAGCCAGTGGGGGGGCGGGAAGTTGCTGTGTAAGTTATTCCAGTGCTGGATTTTCCCCGCCATTGTTTAAAGTAATTTCTCATCATCTATGCGAAGAATGTAAAGTGGAAAATTCAGGCCAAGTTGGAAATGCCACTTACCTGTGACAATACAGGTAAGTCTACCCTCTGTGTGAGGAACTGTTCCCAGATTTCGGGAAGGGAAAACAGGTAAATGTTCAGCTATGGCTGACGTTAAGCGCCTTGTTCCCAGTTCCTCATTGCAAACTTTTCTAAGCGAATTAATAAACGAAGGGATTTTTTTATATCAAGTCTTAATTGAGTGGATTCTCATTTAATAAGTTGCCTGCAGGAACCCCCAAGCATCTTACTCTTGCATCCCTTTGCTTTTATTTATGGCTTAAACAGAGGTAAAACCTTGAAGACGTTTGTAAGATCATACGCTGAGCTGACTGATAATCATCTTAACTACTGTAACACACCAACAGAAGCTGATTTAAGTTCCGAGTGGTTTAGGGTTTACTTTAGGTTTAACAAATGAATTGGCGGTTGTGCTGTAGTAACAAAAATAAACCCAGAATAGCTTTTTAAATACAACCGGTGGTTACGGGTATTCCATATTGTACTCAAGTCAGCACTCAGGTTGTTTTTTTTTCTAACTAACATTCATCTAAATCTCTTAATTTAACAAGAACCGGTTTTGGTGTCCTCAACTACATTTCTGTTGTTCCCCTTCTAGGTTGTGAATGTTTAGACCTATATTCAGCTACCCCTGGAGGAAACTGCCGCTTTCCATTCCTGGTTGTTTCCCTTTGTGTGTTCTAAAACTCTTCATAGTTTTCCTTAGTCCTACCTATTAATTCATACCATTTAACCGCACGCGGGGATGCATGACAGGCACGGCCGCATCGCGCTTTAGGAAGAAAGCGGTTGAGGGCGATGAGCGTTGGATTGCGGTCCAGCTAATCCCATTTTCTTACTCCGTTGCCCTGCCCACCAAAGAAGCTGGGGGCCACAGCTCTCCCCCAACCACCTTTTGAAACCCAGTCTCTGTGGGCGGGAGGGCAGCGCGGCGGGCACAAAGTGCAGGTTTAGCTGCTGGGATAGAAATTAAGCGTGGGACAGCTGCGGTTAACGAAGGGCGGGAAGAATCTTGCCTTTCATGCGTCGAGCCCTGCGAACGATCGTTCGAGCTGGTGCTGCGCAGCGTTACGCGCGTCCACCTGCGGCGTGCAGGGGTGCGTAACGGGAGAGGTGCGCTCGTAAAAGTCATAGAATCATAGAATCATTAAGGTTGGAAGAGACCTCCAAGATCATCGAGTCCAACCGTCAACCCAACACCCCCATGCCCACTAAACCATGTCCCTAAGCGCCTCATCTACACGTCTTTTAAATACTTCCA